CCCAGTGCTGGGTAAAATAGGGACAAACCCAGCAATTGGGCTGTTTTGACCCAGCGGTTGGGTTAAATGTTTAACCCAACCTTCTGGGTAGTAACCCAACCGCTGGGTCAAAACAACCCAATTGCTGGGTTTGTCCCTATTTTACCCAGCACTGGGTTGTATTTAACCCAGCATTTTTTAGAGTGCACCTGAACCAGCTAATCAAGCTCATACTAGGCATAGAAACTTCCAGTCAGGTGTGTTGAGGCAAGTTTTAGCTAAACTCTGCAGGACACCGGCCCTCCAGGACCGAGTTTGGACAGCCCTGGCCTATATACTCATTTACACACCTGAAAAACATGATGGCCCCCAGGTAGCCAATTTCTTTCAAATTTCTCACAGGCCTCTAGGTCCATCAGTCCAACTGGCTTGGTGAGTTTTGTTCCGATCGGCCTTGGTTAACCTTATCTGTGTCCAAAAATCCCCCCATACCCTCAGCGGCAGGAAGGAAAACAGAACAATATAGAGGGAAATAACACAGACACCAAAAACAAATATAGTTTCCCACAGATCATCATATAACAATGTCACAGGATGCAACGACCATAGTTAAGCTGCTAGTGAAAGCAGTGCATCAGTGTTGAAATCTGATTCTGTTATTTCTGATAACACACAAACATATTTTAGAGACACACAGACTCCTCCTGTCATGAGTGAGTCATATTTTTAATAATATCACAAACATACAAAAGATTTTTCAGATTCATTTGTTTCAGAAAAGAAAATAGTAAAACCAACATCTCTGTTGGTTTTACTTCAAAACACTTTTTCCCTTGGCTGGTGTAAAGGTAAGGAACACAGAAAGGAAAATGTCTAAAAATATTCTGCCCATAACAGCTATATTCTATAACAGCTTACAGAAAATCCCAGTTTAACACAATAAAATCAAAAGAGACATGAGGTAAGGGAAATGACACAACAGGTCTTTCCTCCTCACATGCAAACAAATAAAATCAAAGAATTAATTGGGACCTCATAAAATGCTACAA